GATGGAAAGAGGGAGAAGGGGGAGATGGAAAAAGGGGGAGAGGGAGAGAGGGAGAGAAGGGGAGAGGGGGAGAGAGATGAATGGAGTATAGAACTGCCACTTAGAATGTGAGAGGCAGGGGGGCAGGGGTGGAGCCAATCTGAGATGGTGCCCATGAGTGTAACTTCACAGAGGCCAAAAAGGAAAGAGTTTGGGGAAGATAACAGATAAAAAGGACAGACCGTCAAAGTTCAGTTATCTGTGAGAAGTTTTAAGGCAGTGGTAGAATTAGAAACCCAGTTGGAAGGAGCTGAGGAGTGTGTTTGAGGAATGGACGTGAAGGTACAAAGCAATCTTTTGAGCACTACAGCAGTGAAAGAAAGAAAATACCTGAAAAGACGGGGGTAGGATGGCATTTACTTTACCTGGTGTTCTGCAATGAGGGCCTTCACCTCTTCAATCTCCTGGGGGATGGCTTCTTTGTCCTTATCACTAAGCGTGGTTTCAGCCCACTGCAGCCAAGTCAGCAAAGCTTCCAGCAGCTCCTGTTTGGCAATGAGCCCAGCCAGAGCGCTTGCTAGTCTCTGCTGATGCTGCTTTGCCCAGGCCAGCACCTGGCGGAGAAATAGAAATTTCTCTGAATTTCTTCCATCTTAGTGAATGACTTAATGATTTCAATGTGAACTAGGATCATCCTGGGCTGGAAGTCTTTCTAGATCCCATCAGTGGTACCAAGACCCAGCTCGGGGATGTTCGTCACCTTCAGAAGTTCAGAGATGTACCTCAGTCACCCAGACTTCTCTTTGTTTTCTAACTCATGTTCAAATATGCATTCTCTGAAGGACCAAGTATGCCTACTCCATGTCGAACAGAGTAGAAACAAAAACAGCTAAGATCTTAAATAAAGAATGAATGTGCTTCGTGTATGTAATTCATTCCACATGCATATACTACTCTGAAATACTATCCAACTCCTGGGTTATTCAACAGACACAATGTGGAAGCGAGACCGGAAGTAAGTTACACAGCAAAGAAGCAAGTATTTGCCTTTTGGTGTTTCAGGGACATGGCTGCAACATGCCCTTCACCGTTTAAAGAAAAGTGGATTGCAGGGATGGGTGATGCTCACAGGAAAGGCATGTGACAGACATCTCTCTCTGCAGAGGCTCATGTTCCCATGGCCATGAGTGCATCTTAAAAGCTCAAGTTTCCACACCTCCAGCCTGACTGTCAGAGCTACCACTGCTCTGAAGATGGCTGGAGCACACTGACCTCCTCAAACCGGGCCCGGATGATGGTTATCCAGTGCTTGATGGTGGTGATGGAGTCGGGGTGGCAGATGGCCAGGACGGCGTCCCCCATACTGGTCGCTTTATTGAGGGCAGCTCGTTTTTCCTCCAGTTTCTTCATGAATTCCTGCAGCAGAAGCGAAGGCTTCAATTAGCTGTTGGCATGGCTGAGAACAAAACTCCGGTGACAGTCATCTGACTGTCAGAGTGCAACTGGTTTATTCACAGCTGGGAATGATCCACTAATTGGGGCATTAAGGGAAGAGAAGGCACAAAAATAGGAAATAAAGTAGTTTCTAATACATATTTTAAATTACAGTTATAGGATAGTATCTCATGCTTTACATGATACATTTTTAATATATAAATACATTACACAAGATATACTCTCTCCTGATTTTGGAGATAGTATAATTATAGTATTAATGGAGAGTAGGGTTGGGAGAGACAGTAATTCCAGAGATAGAAATAATACTGATTGGGAAAAAAAAAACACCTAACAAATAAGACAAGGGGTTAGTAGTTAAAATAGCATTAACCACATCAGGAAAGATAGGAATATGTACCAAAAAGAGGTGCCAAGGAAGAGAGAAGGCTGGGAAAGGAGCTAGAAAAGTTGAGGGTGTGGGAGAGATGGCACACATGTCCAACCAGGATGGAGTGAGAGGGAGGCTGGAGTGAGCAGGCCAGACAGCAGGCCTGCAGTGTAAAAGCTGTCCCTCCCTTCCATGGCCAGTAGGAACCACTCTCTGCCCCAGCAGCATAGATGAGCCACCAAAGGTCCAAGGAAAGGGTTTCCAATCAACTATTTTACAAATGCCTCACATATGTAACAACTTTCTGTCATCAGAACTGTGTCCATAGATACATGAATCAGAGAACTCTGCAAGTGTGTTTTAAAAAATGAGGACCTTTACCCTAAAACAGGCGACAAGCTTAGAAAACCACCCCCTGAATTTCAAGCATCCACAGATGCCACAATCCATCTGGACCCCCATGCTTAGAAGGATTCCTTGATCACATTGTCAAGAAGTGCCAGAAGCTGCAGACACAACAGACACCCATACCCTGCGACTAGGGTGATCATCTGAAAACATAGGTGTTTACTATAAAGTCTAGTGACCTTTTGTTTTGAAGCTCCAAGAAGCAGCTCTGTCATATGCCTCCTACTTGAGCATTTTGCTGTGCTGACATAATTTGTTTACATCCATATCTTCTAGATGTTAAGGTCCACAAGATCAAAGATTCAATTTTGTGTTTCTGTGATTGAATAAGTGCCTTCCAACCTTTTATGCACACATGTTTACTTCTGTGAATTCAAGGTTCAATTAACAATTGACCTACTTTTTAAAATATCATGACCTACCTCTGAATATATTCTAATTTTCCCCAATATATATCCTCTTAAATGAAAGGAAGAAAAACTTGACTAGGAAGAGAAATTCAGAGGTTAGCAACAGCTGTACTTTGCAGAGGACAGTTGACGTGATCATGTACTTTTAGTCCCTCCTACACCTACAAGAGCCTGGCCCTGCCCAAATGCTGGGGACTGGGCTGTCAACTCCCTGTTGTATTCTGCACTCTTCTAATCTCGCCCGAGTGCCACTTGAGTAGTGTGTGCTCATGAGGAAACACTCACCATTGTTAGGAATTGATTTATACTAACAAGTCTCTAGTCTTGGGGCTGAGAAATTAAATATTCTGTTTTTCTTCTATCAGCGAATGTGTGAAGGGAAGCAGAGGAAATGAAAAAGAATGAATAATGTCCCTGCAATTAGGTAATGTTCATTACTAAGAGGCCCTTTAAAAAACTGCATGTTATTTAAATAGCTTATGCTATTTAAAAATATTTAAAGATAATTACAGTAAGTCCTCACTTAACATGGTCGATAGGTTCTGTGACTGTAAGCAAAACAACAGAACAAAGCCAAGTTTATCATAGGCTAGTTGATATGAACAAGAATTAAAGTCCTATCGCCTCTCATCAATATTATAACGAAATGATATTATTGGAGGACCTACAATTTTTGTAAAAAGCCATGACTTCTGCTCTGGATACCTGTCTCCTGGTGTTCCTGGGGGTGCCCTGGTCCTGCTGTGAGAGTGGTGAGACCACAAGTGGAGTCCTTTCCAAAGGGTGATGGATATGAACCTGGGCTTCAAGGGGCTACTCTGAGACCCAGGCCTACGTATGTTATAGTAACTCAGTGCTGGCTGATGGTCAGCCTACAGTAACATAAACTGCATTTTCAAAACATTGAACTGAATAAAATAGTCACAGTAAATTTGATGTAATTTTCCTACTCTTAGCTGACTTCTTACATTCTAGCTTCAACTTTAAATGGTGTGGGTAGCATTTCATTCCTCCAGATAATGTCATACAAACTCACGTCACTTTTATTAATGACAAGGCAGTATTTCATTGCTATAGGTTACACTATGCATCATAAGAGAGCATAGTAATTAAAATAAAAAGTCTCCATAGATGATGTAACCCATTCTACACTGGAATTAATGATGTATTTCTAATTTGACCTTGAAAGACGAGGTTACTCAGTGGTTAAACAGATCCTTTAAAGATAACAGGAATCCTGACATCAATATAACATTGAGTGCTGCATTACAAATTTTGGTAGTTAGAATCAAAGGTTAAAAAAACTCAAACATCTGTTAAGAGCTATCTGAACCACTCTCTTAAGAATTTTGCTAGTTCTACCCAGTATCACAGGAAGACCTTAATCTGAACCTAAATGGCCAGATTTTTACTTAACTACTTAATAATATGTCTACTTATATAATTCCTTTATCAACTTACAATTTATCCTAGAGTTACTTCTCAAAAGAATTTAAGGTGGCTCTTTATTAAAAACAGAATTGACAGAGGATTAAAAATGAAATTTGAAGCCGAAACCGGTTTGGCTCAGTGGATAGAGCTTCGGCCTGCGGACTGAAGGGTCCCGGGTTCGATTCCGGTCAAGGGCATGTACCTGGGTTGCGGGCACATCCCCAGTAGGAGATGTGCAGGAGGCAGCTGATCGATGTTTCTCTCTCATCGATGTTTCTAACTCCCTATCTCTCTCCTTTCCTCTCTGTAAAAAATCAATAAAATATATTTTTTAAAAAAATGAAATTTGAAGACCAATTATTAAATTACTTGCTTGTTTTGAAAGTCAAAATTATTAATGTACAATTCTAATGGTGTAATTATGCCAAACTGCTCATTAAGGAAACTTCATCTTTGAAATGCACACAAAAGTGCAACAAAATTGACCAGTTTTGGTCAGATGCCAAATAACCCTCTAGAAAAATCAATAAGCTTCCTAAAGATAGAAAATTGAGTGACTAATTTTAGAATAACCACCTTCTTTATGAAGGAAACATAAAAGAAGAGCTACACATACCTGTGTATAGGTGCATGGGACACACCTATGCAAGTATGGAGGACACAGGTGAAGTCTCAAATGTACTAGGTCTTTAATTAGTTCTTGGGAAGGAAAATATTCATGCAATTGACATTTGCAACCATGAGTCAATTTTCTTTACTTTGATTTTCTCGTTTAGATTGACTTAGCATTTATGTAACTCACTTTATGCTGATCAATGAGAGTCCGAAGAGCATCCTCGTCCTCTGGGAGAACGCCATGGAAACGAAGGGTTTGCTCCGCCTCAGCCAGCCACTCCAGCAGGGCATGCACCACCGAATGGAATTCCTCTGCCTACAGGTTCACACAGACACACACCCCACACAAGAGTTCCAAATATGCTTAATACAGCAGATTCTTCCTCTCAATGAAAAAAAAAAAGTTTTCTATTTAAATTGATTAATCATATGCACTATCCCCGTTAAAAAGATAAAAGCTAGATGGTGCTGCATTTTACAAATGTAACGAAGCATCTAATATAAAAAAAAGACCTACGGCCCTAGCTGGTTTGGCTCAGTGGATAGAGTGTCGGCCTACGGACTGAGGGTCCCAGGTTTGATTCTGGTCAAGGGTAAATGCCCAGGTTGCAGGCTCAATCCCCAGTAGGGGATGTGCAGGAGGCAGCCAATCAATGATTCTCTCTCATCATTGATGTTTCTATCTCTCTCTCCCCCTCCCTTCCTCTCTGAAATCAATAAAAATATATTTTTTTAAAAAATAAAAAAGGCCTATATATGAATTTTAACAATCTGATTTTAGATGAATGGCAGCCCATTATACCTTCAGGCTGAAAAATGACTCAAGCAGCACATTTATGGGAAGATTAGAAAGCCTCCCTTGGTAGTAATTTAAGTTTTGGGGGGAAGGACAGGGAGAGTGGGGGAAGGACCCCAGGCAATGATGCTTTAAGAATGTCCTTCTCCATGATCGTCTTAATTAAGAAATGGGGAGCTTCACGGGCCTTCACAAGGGCAGCTCTCATGGAGGCCTCAATACCTTCCCACTACACCTGCTCTAAGTACATAATTTTTACCTGGCGCAGAGCTGCTTCTAACCGAGTTTGCTTTGACACAGAAAGTGCGCACACGGTCTCCCAGCGTGTGCTCAGTTCCTGCATCTGGACCCGGACCCAGGAGGAGTCGTCCCGGCTGCCTTCTATGAGCTCCCGGGCCGAGCGCTTCAGGGCCTGCACGCTGCTGGTTCTCTTCCCCAGTTCCTTTTGGAAGGCCTAAAGAAAAGCATATTCTTACCGAAGTCAATTTTTAATTACAAAACCAAAAGAGTAAAACATAGTTTCAAATATATGTGTGTAAATAATAACATCATGGACAGATCTCTGAGACGTGGAGTTGAAGGACCCAGATTTTTCACAGAATCTGTCAGAGCACCGTAACGGCCAGTCTTGTATCTTAGACACAGACGGCGGGCAGCTGGCTGCCAGAGGGGAGGCCGGCTGGGGAGCTGGTTGAAAAAGGTGAAGGGATTATGAAGTACAAATTGGCAGCTACACAATAGTCATGGGGATGTAAAGTACAGCGTAGGAAATATAGTCAGTAATATTGTAATAACTATGTACGGACCAGGTGGATACTAGACATATTGGGGGAACACTTGGTAAAGTATATGACTGTCTAGCCACCAAGCTGTATACCTGAAACTAATGCAAAATAATATTGAATGAAAACTGTAATTGAAAATAAAATGTCAAGTTCTTTAAAAAACAGCAGTCTTGTATAAATCGGTTCAATCTTGTAACATTCTCCTGAGTGAACAACACTATTTTTTAAATGACACATTGGGTTTAAATAATGGTGGCCACCTTTTATTTCAATTCCACAAAATAATGCATCAAGTTCCTTCTTTTCTAGGATTCCTTAAAATGGTGTCTCAGTTCCTCTCCAATCGTTACTAAGTACCAAGTGCGTGTTGACCACCACACTACTCTTACTTAGTGTAAACAGATATAAGAGACTAACAAATAACTAAGGAATCCTGGGGTACATCATGGGGATCCTTCATGACAATGGCAAGAAATCTCATGGAAAGTTGGCATGTAGTCCTTTTTCTCTATAACATGCCTTCGTCTTTTAGAGCATCCTGAATACTACTAACCCATAATGTCAAATTTTAGTAGCTTAAATCCTTGTCACCTTGGAATAAAAAAGCTTTTTTGGTTTTTGCTCCCATCTAATCCAGGTAAACTCTGATGTGCCAGGAGTTAAATTGGCTTCTTTTGGCCACAGTCTTAATCCAAGAAATGAACCTGGGGTTCTGTACTTCTGATACAAGAGTCTGTATATGAGACTAGATCTTTCAAAGAGCCAACTTTATGTATAGGATAATATTATCTTATCTTTCTTTAAAATAATGGTCACAAATGAATATTACCAAGCACATTTTATCATTATGGCTGTATCCATGGCTTTCTATTTTGGTTCTCAGATCATTCATACAAGAAAACCCATCAAAATCAGTGATGAATTCTTTGCTGATTTCCTTCAAACAATGTTAAACAAGATGTACCTCATATAGACATGCACACACACACACGTGTGGGCACACACACACACACACACACACACACAGGCATGCATAGATGGGACAGTGTCTAACCATTCTATTTGTGATAGGACTAGTCCAATAGATCTGAGTAGACTTTCCAATGCACTCTGTATACTTAAATTTCTTGAGCCTTCCAATTGTATTACTAATGCTGAATGATTAATTCGTTCTTGATGACCTTTAATATATAAAAAACCTGGCAAGTGCCTAGGGGAGTAAATGTTTAGACAGTGAGCTTACAAAAATGGTATTTATGTAAAAAGTAACATTACACTATTCATTACTCATTGAATGGCTGCCAGGGAATGGAAAGGTTTATATTAATCATGCATAAAACATTTGTTTTAATATAGGCAAAGCAACGTAATTCTTTAAATTTTTATTTGTGTGGGCCTGATCAATGTTCTTCATTTATTCTTTCATTTTCTCATATTCAAAATAACAAACTTGCCTTTATTGATATAATGAGATAACAGAACCAGAAAAGGGGAACTAAATATGCAAAAGGACCAACTGTTTAAAAAAAGAATAGGTAAGATCAAAATAGCATAATCAGGGAAGTATAAAGAGAGCATTTTTAAATGAAATAAATTTTCTGAACTCAAAAATGATAAGGGAAATACAACATGAATTCAAGCAGTGCTGTAAAACATCTCTATATAAAGTCAACTCTGACACAACCCTTCTACATTAGTACAGTACCTCATGTTGTTTTTAAGCTCTTTAAGTTGTAACAGCATTTGATCATAATTTAGAACCTTACACTCAGTATCAGCTGGAGGTCTCAAATATGACCTTTGATTTACACAGTTTACCATACATATCAGAAGATTTCAAGGAAACCAATGTTTTTGAAGTAATAACCAAATTCCTCAGCATATACGGTTGTCTCATAAGTTGCTATAGTTCAAGGGCAAGGTTAAAACGTTTTTTTTAAAAAGAAAAGCAGCTGACCACGACCTCCATAGATCATGTCACATTATCTACCTGCTTATGCAATGATCAAGTTCCAGGTCACTCAATGAATGTTTCTAAATTACATTACATAATCATTTAAATGAATAAAAAAAAGATAGTAACACATTCTTGAAACACGTTTTAAAGCACCAGAGAATGAAATTGCTTTCCAAGTTCTAAAAGGTCTTGGATCTGGAAACTGAAAACAAAAGTATGCCACTGACACTAAAATGATTTTCCTACACCATCTTTAAGTTGTCTTCCTGATTCTGCCAACTGGACACACACCGCGATATTAAAGACCGTTCTGTAGCATGATCTACAGTATCTACGACTTTAAAAGGCTAAATGGTAACAGTTTCGTCTCTACCCAGAATAATCAAAATGAAAAGAATAAAATGACCCAGGTAACAATACCTTGTGATTATCGATCAGATTCATCACTAAATCAATGTCTCCATGGACAGGCTGGTCTTCTGCCAGCTGGGGCTCCACTCTATATAACCAATCAATGAGGGCCTGCAGGGCATCTGTGAATTGTCCGGAAAATAGCAGCGCTTCCTCCAATTTGTTTTGTCTGGGGGGTGGGCGGGAGAAGAATCAATCCGTGCAACAAAAAAGCCAGCCTGTATATCCCGACAGCTAAATGTATTGATGACGTCTGAGTCGAACTCAGAGGAAAACCAATGTACTGGTATTTTCTGCTGTTTTTGTGCTTCCCTTAAAAATACAACAATAACACTTTTCTCAACCCTTCTCTTTTATTCCTTATATGCATGGCACTGTCCCAGGCAAATTCCTTCATCACCACCTCTGGAAGCCACAGACCCTTCCATTTCTTCATGAAAGTGTGGGCTTTTTAATAAAAAAAACAACATTTTTTAAAAAAATTTATGTTCTAAATTATCATACAGTAAAATGGAGGGTTGTGGGTATACGGTTCTGTGAATCTGAACACATGTATAGATAGAGTCATGTAATTATCATCATAATCGAGATACAGAACAGTTCCATCAATTCCAAAAATCGCCCTGTGATGGCTCAGTATAGTCTTAGCCTGCCCCCAGCTCTAACCCCTGGCATTGACGGATCTGTCTGCCATCACTGATCTTTTGTATTCTCAAGAATGTCAGATAAAAGAAAACATTTATCTGACTATATGACATTGTATAAAGCATGACCTTTTGAGATTGGAGAAGGTTTTTACATTTTTTAGAAAAAACACAATATTACTGTGAAATTCCATGGAGTGGAATATAATACTCTATTTAATCTTGATACTGACTAAAGCAATTTGACTAAGATCAATGAAAACTTTGAAAACATTTCTAATATATTTGAACTCTTTCAGTACTATTGTGCTTTCTTTAAAATTTTGGGCCTTTGCCCAGCTGGCGTGGCTCATGAACCAGGAGGTCATGGTTCAAGTCCCACAGGGTAAATGCCCAGGTTGCGGGCTCAACCCCCAGTAGGGGGCGTGCAGGAGGCAGCCTGATCACTGATTCTCTCTCATCATTGATGTCTCTCTCTCTCTCTCTCTCTCTCTCTCTCTCTCTCCAATAAAAATATATTTAAGAAATATGGGGGGCCTTCACAGTTGAAGTGTAATGAGAAAAGGGGAGATTAGAAAGGGGTGGATGGAAGTTGGAGGGGAAGACAAGGGTCAGATCAGTAGGCCTTGCACAATAAGAGATTATATTTTAGTTCACACCAATAGTAAGTCCCTAAAGGGCACGAAACGGAGAATGACCAGCTTCCATTTACTTTATAAAAAACTACCTAGTAGTTATATAGAAATTGGACTAAGGAGGACAAGAGCAGACCTGGAAGATCAGTCAGGTGTGAGATGACAGAAGCTTGGGGAATGTTCTAACTTCTGAGTGAACTGAATAGTTAAAAACAATCGTGATGATTAGCAAAGTCTTCTCAGTGCAGGTTCTGTGTGAGGGGGGACTAAGGACCAGAGAAGTTCCCCAGGCAAAGGACGTATTTCAGGTTCGTAAAATGTCCACTGCAAAGAGGTCTACAAAGTAACCAGACATTTGGTTCATTAAAGAACATCTCACCTTTCCACGGACTTTCCACAGATCGTGTCCCACTTGTCTCGGAGCTCACTCAGCATGTCATCCAGTTTCAGGTTGTCATCAGCCAGGGAGGTTTTCTCCTTCAGAGAACGTCCAGTCCTATTGGTGGTGTCGTACACAGAATGCTTGGCTCCAAGGGATTTCTGAAACTCCTAGATGTTAAACAAGAATACGCTGTGCATTTATACTTGGGACTAACACACAAATGGGTAAGAGACACTCAAAGAGGCATCTCTAATAAACGGAGTCTAACCATCGGAAGACATCAGCAAATAATCAAGTCAAATAGCTCAGTGCTGTACTCTACACAGGAACACATCAGGATAGACAATCATCTTTACATTTTCAAATTATTACTATTATCAAGAAAATAATTTCAAAACAAAACAAATCCCAAATCTTTTGTAGCTACAAACTACAAACAGTATTCTAGTTATGATATGATAGAATTGCTAATAAGCTATTGAAAATCCCGTGGTTTAGGGAGGAAAATGTAGTTAACATTCTATGAGTAACTATTAGTCCAATAAGGACACAGAGGGACTCAATACTGTATAAATTTATGAGTTTTTTGCCAAACAGTTTTTTGGCACACATTTCCTATATTCACAATAACTTTACATGTAATTTTATCTGTGAACTAGGATGAGGGACAAATAAGAACCACACCTTTAGGTCCCTATGTTTAGACCTACTGGTCATTGTAATCACACCACTTGAGGGCCTACACCCCTCCTCTCCTCTTTAATGACCTACCAAAGTCTCAAAGGATCTAAAGATTACTCTTCCATGTACCAAATAGCTATCCTGCTAACAGGACCTCCATGATTTGATGCTTCATTTTTGTGTGTATATGTGCAGGAGGGGTGAATTCTATTCTTTCTACACAACTCAATTATAAGTCTTTCTGCAGCTGGGACATTGTCTTTGTAAGCCTCTCATTATCAAGTTATATTTTCTGTGTGTTTATAGAATGTAATAAAACGAATGAGCCAACTGCTATTGAATATATAATCCCAGGGATGGGAAGAAAGCAAGGTCAACTGAATAGGCAGCTTACAAGCTCATACAATATCACGAGAACACTTAATATAGTGATTCTCAATCCTGGAAGCACATCAGAATTACCCCAGATAGTAAAATGCTATACAAATGTATAATTTTCCAAAATAACCTCAGTTAAAATTACCTAATAAGTTTTTATTGCCTTTAAAAGCGAGACACTTTAAGTGTCTTATAATGACTAAGATATTTATTTTGTCTTGTAAAAGGAAGCAACTACATCTGGGAATTTTTTAGCAGTGAGCACAATTAGAATATCACACTATTTCTGCCGTTCTCTGTACATATTATGTTTTCATGTTATTCTAAACAGAATGCTAGTTTTAGAAGCACGGTATTGACAGATTTCCTTCACATAGCAAATACACAACAAATGGTATACTGAATACAGGGCAGGTTAAAACTCTTTAAGGACAAAAAGTACCCAAATAATGAACAGAAAAGACTTCTTGTAAAATTGGCTTAATGAACCTTGTATCTTTATCTCAGAGAGATGGTGATTGTGGCCATAGGTCACACTAGGGAAAATAGAGAATCTCACAGGATTCTTTGCACATTGTTATTTCTAGGATTTTCTAATTTAAATACTCAATAGATTTTCATAAGACTACGTGACATGACATCTACAATCAAGTTCAAATAAGACATTCTACATTGAGAAGGAGGCTCTCATTTTTCCATCAGGGGGGAAAGAAGGAAGGTGCTGCTCACCCTCACTGTGCTGCCAGTATTACGTGTGGCAGCTCAGGGACATAGGCCACCAGCAGGACAAGCTATTCAGAAACCCTCATCTCGCCAAAAACGGGTGCTCAATATGTTTCCTTCCGTCATCATAGGATTGTGACCCTCCGAGGTAAGTAGACTCACTAATGGAAGAAACCAACTAGAATTTTCTGATGATGAACTTACATTTCCCCATATTTTTTTCAATCCTTTTATAAATGATCATGTTTCAAGCAATGATTTATATGTAGATGCCTAAAAATGTATAACTGTTTGCAGGAATCATTCCCCTTTACCCACATCCTCACTCTGAGTGCTGATGACCAAACAGAATGACTGAAGGACCCAAACTTAACCGATTTGAGAAGGATGGGGAAACGCACTTTGAATGGCATGTGGTAGGAATAGAAAAGGTAGAAAATATAAAATTCAATGTTTCTACATCTAATTTACACAAGGACGCCACTGACTGTGTTTCCTTGAGGGTTAGGATGGAGTTTCATATACCCACACATACATATTGTAGAAGAAAACAATTTCCCCTGATGCACTGTTAAAAAGAAATTTACATTATTTTTACTATAGAATTATCTTCTATGTGGCTTATAATAGGAAATACAAGATAAGACAATTGTGCTAAAATTGAAATGCCAATGTTTGAACCCCTACAAAACCTTTATATGTTTTAGGTTGTAGAAGAATTCCAGTTTTAATTTTGCCTGTTTTCTTTTACCAGTGAACCCTAGATCATAATGGAATGGACCAACGTGAAGGGCAATTGTTTTAAATTCCATGTAGTTCACATTGAACAACCTTTCTTTCCTCTAGTGACAAATAAATGCACAACCAAGTAGGAAATGAAAAGTAATCTTGAAATATATAAAGACACACTATGCTTTTCTTTTCTTTTTAAAATCCTCACCCGAGGACATGTTTTTGTTTTTTTCCATTATTGATTTTTAGAGCAAGAGGAAAGGAAAGAGAAAAACATCGATGTGAGAGAGAGAAACTTGGATTGGTTGCCTCCAGGACACTCCCAGACTAGGGATTGAACCCATAACATAGGTATGTGCCGTAATCAGGAATCGAACCTGCAATCTTTTGGTGTACTGGATGATGCTCCAACAAGCTGAGCCACTCAGCCAGGGCACCATATGCTTTTCTTAACTGTAGACCCACCTTATGCTGCGAGAGTTGTGTCTTTAGTTTGTCTGGATCGTTGGCAATTTCCAGTTCAGAATCCAAAGACTTTTCCGACTCCTCTAGCCACTCCATAAGTTTAGTCCAAGCTTCATGGAACTGTAAAGAAATTCACATTTTGTCCAGGAAACTTTCACTATACACTATATTTAAAATCTAATATTTGTTTAAAATAGAAATTAATGTTAATGGAAATGCTGAAAATTATAAATTCAACAATTCCCCTGAAGAAGAAAAAAGCAGTAGTTTGATCAGCAGATTACAAACTGTCTTGTTTATACTGACTTTTGTGGTTTTGCCCATGGTCACTTTGTTATAATTCATTCAAGAACACGAAGTTTAACAAAAATAGATATGTTAGAAAGCATCAGGGAAAACTTCCCTCCCTTTCTTTTTCTTAATAATTAACATCAACTCTCAGAGAATTTTATTTGCTTTCTGCTGTCTCTTGACATTTCTGGGTTTACGTCTAAGGTGTTTAGTTCTTATGTTAAGAAAAGGAATAAAACAGGAGAAAGAGGATAAAGTTTGTAATCTGGCTTTAGAAAGTAACAAGAACAAAGAGGTCATTTCATTCCTATTTAATACAAAGATAGCTGAACATCTTTATTTTGCTATCAAAATCCTCAACTTAATGCCCGTGCCTCACATAATTGGTTTAGTATGTAAGAGCACCCATAGTACTTGAGTTCTAACAAAATAGAATTCTCTTTGTCATCGACTTTGAAATAATCTGGTGCTACATATATTTCATTTCACCAACCGTCTGTTTTCTTTTTATCTCTGAGAACGAGTGGGTACTATTTTTGGAGACCAAGTTGTGAAAATGGTTATAAATTAAGCTCATAATAAAGTTACGTGAACAGATACATAGCAAAGACTTAGGTAATCAAAATAAAATGTGTTTTATATCAAAGCACATTAATAATGGAATAACAAAAAGACACTTCTTACCAAAACAGCACAATAAGAGCATGGAATTGCAAAGCTACAAGGGCCCCTTGGAGATCATCTCATCAAACCTGCTCTCCCTAAACACCCCTCCCACATGCTAATCAATTTAAACATGAAAATATGGAGGCCAGAACAGGAACAGACATTGTCCAAGTCAGAGAACTACGGTCAACATCTGAGCCCAAAACGGAGATCTTAGAATAAAAAAAAAAACAAAGAAAAAATAAAATAAAGATACAGCCAGTCATGGTGTCATGGTGTTAGGTAGTCTTACTACAAATAACATTGGCTGTAACACTTTAGATGGTAAGTTTAATTATATGAACACACAAGTTCTAAGGCTGGTCCTACTTTCAAAACTATTTTTAAATGGTAAAAACAGAAGAAATGCTATCTTTTGCATCCAAGAGATTTTTATAAGCTAGATGTCCTTAACTCAAAAATGCCTAAACTATAGACTGTTACATATGTGGAGAGAAAAAATGACAGGCTCAGTATTAATGTTATTTTACAAAATCATTAGGGACTAGTTCCATTCCAGGGACTCACTTATAACACTGCTGATATCATACCTCCCACTCAAAAAGGGATATACGGCATGTAATCCTATAACAGTATAATCTGTCATTTCCAAAGCCCTTAAAAACTTATGCTGATAACTTTAAACAGTGAAACACTAAACTCCCAGGACATCTGTTATATCACCCAACTGAGCCTAGCTCCCCCAAACAATGAAGTGCAGCACCAATGATGGACAAATGCAACTGAACAGGACAAAGAGAGTCATAAAAATCCAGCCTCGATATTACACTTCCTAGTTTTAAATAAAAATCAGCGATATATGCCAAGCAAGGTGAGTGCACCTCTCTCTCCCCTGGAGAACAAAGACATGTCATTTTGCTTCTCCTCTGTGTGTAGTCTAGAATACAATATTAATAACAGGTGAAGAAAGTTAGGCTAGTTCCTTGTGAGTGTCTCTAGATTTAAAAAAAAAAAAGAAGCAGCCCCAAAAGATTCAAACAATTTAAAAGTGGGATGGAGCTGTATCAAAATATTAGCAAAGAAATAAAGGCTTGCCAACAATGCACAGATTCAGGGAGGTGAGGAGTACCCACTCACTCAGACACAGAATATCCTTTTCAGGAGGTTGTCTCAAAGGGCTCAATGTCTGGCTCTCAACTGACAGTTTGAAGAAAGTCTGGCTTAGGAACTAAATAAAAGGCAGCCATATAATAAAGTATGATGTCTCACTCTAAGAATGAGAATGGAGGTTGACAGGACAAAGAAACAAACAAACCCAATGACAAAAATTCTGAGGGCTTAAGATAATGGTCTGTCTATGAAGTCAACCTACAATCAGTCTTTTCAAGATCAGTCCCCAGGGCCTGAAGCTGCTGCCAGGTAAAAAGTAATGTCATCATCCCAACCCAGGCCACAGCCCTTTCAGGAAATGAACACCTTGGCTTCCTGCCAGGATTGTTACCCATAATGCAGCCTGCAATACAAGTCCTTTACTAACATAATCTATATTTCAAAAGCTAGAACCAATGTATTGCCAAGTTCAGAGAATTTCTATAAAGGTTTACCTGCTTGGCCCTCTTCCTTGCTTCATCCAAAGATCTTCCTCTTTCTACTAACCGTTGAACCACTTTTTCCCATCGACCCTGGACACTGATGAGCAGATTCTTAATGAGGACAACATCTTGCTTCTGGCTAAAATATTTCAGGTGGGTTCCAGTTTTATCCAGCTCTATTATCTGCTCACGGTGAGAATTTACTTCATTGGCGAAGACCTTTCCAAAAAAAAAGGGATAAAATGAGAAACAAATGGAGAACGGACCTATCTTGAAAATGCTTCTGGTGTCATAAGCTGAAACTATTTCAAAGGACAAAAGAAAGGTTTTCAAACTAGCAAATTCATGCTTTTGACATGAAGACAGCCAGCTGTCTAAAAGGTCTGAAGTCAGAATGCTCTCCATGTGAGTTACGGCATACCTTGTGTTCATCGATTTGAAACAAGACTGTGTCCAAGATAAGACTTGGCCGAGAAGCAACATTTAGGGTCTGTTCAGCCTGGGTGAGCCAGTTGATGAAGTCCTGGAGAGAATTGTGGAACTCCATTGCCAAGTTGAGGGCTTCTTCCAGTTTAGTCTGCGAAGAAAGGTTGTTTAGTATTTGATGATATTTAAAAGTTGTCTTTCCTCCCACTTAAACCACTCTCTGGCGGCTATCCTTCCCATCTATACTTTATGCATAAGCTATATTACCTAAACAGTTTATGAATGTAATGGACTGTCCCTAAGGTACTGGCAAGTCAAACCCCTTGAAGTATATTAAGAAGTATCTCACTGCAGCTAGAAACATTTTAATATACATTAAATTGTGGTTTGGGGTCAATTAAGCACAGAACACAGTTACTGAAAAGCATTTGTGAAATGAAAACAGTCATAAGATTTTTGGAATTATAATAATAATATATATATATGCTGTATCGGCAAGGACATACAATCTAGTACTATTCCTATCCTATCATTTTTCTTACAGCATTAAACAGTAATGTTTCTTTAAAAAAATTGTTTTTATTGATTTCAGAGAGGAAGGGAGAGGGGGTAGAAGCATCAGTAATGAGAGAGAATAATTTATTGGCTGCTTCCTGCACGCCCCCTACTGAGGATTGAGTCTGCAGCCAAGCCTGTGCCCTTGACTGCGAACTGAACCACAGCCTCCTGGTTCATAGGTCAACACAACCATTGAGCAACACTGGCCGGGCAACAGTAATATTTTTAATCTCATCTCCTGGATTTTTTTCATGAAGTGCTTACTAGTTATGGACAACTATTTCATTCTCTTGATCTCCCTCACTCCCTCCTCCTACATGCATCCTTTCATTTACTAAGTATGACTAGAATAAAAATATTTAACAACCCAAAATTTGAGTAGTTCACAAATTTAAAAATATAGCTAGTAATGGTGATCTCTGATACACTGTTATCTATGTTTGAATAGATTCCTTTAACTCTGTTCTTCCTTTAGGACAAAATACTATTTTCAACTGACCTCATGAAAACTCCTAATGTATACAAATAAATTCAAACATGGATCATTAAAAGTTCCACTGATCATGCTACTCAGAGATAAGGTAAAACCCTTGAAATAAAACAACCAAAACATTCATTCTGTTATATTAATCAAGGCACATACTTTCCTTTCATTGAGTTTGGTTTCCACCGATTCCCATTTTTCTTTCAAGTTATTTATGTCTTGGTCAATATTTGTCTCTGCAGATTCGGGGCATCTTGCAAGCAGCTGTTGGCCTTTCTGCATCAGACTCTTATATGTTTCTTCTTTCACATCAAAGGCGGCACAGATTTCCTATTGAGATACCCCACCCCCAAAGTTATATCACTTTTTAAGAGAATAAAATCTAACAGTTCTTATTCCACTTCACCAAACCCAAGCCCCTTACCATATATTCATCTCTATCCAGCATACAGCATAACCCTCGGACAATAAAACTCTTTACTATATTGAAACAACAACTAAACCTATAGCCATAACCTGTCTACCGAGAAATCTTAGAAATACTGCCACCATCACTAATCCATTCTGGCATGCGAAGGTTTGTAAACAGTATTTTAAATGCTATGGAGAAAGGCTTCACTATATAGTAACCTATCAGTCTGTCATCTTTGGCAAAAACGTTAACCTCATTGAGTCTTGACTTCCTCCTTTGTAAAGCAGGTTTTAAGTCTCTCCTGGGACTAGCTAATACAATAACTGTAATATTTTTGGTATAATTTAGTTCTGGGCGCAGAAGACATTCAGTGAATAAAAAGTAAAGACCCAGTCTAGTAAGACATTTAAGTTGCTTATTAAGACTTTGGAATCACAAAAGCCAAACTTGTAGTACTATGAGAATTTTACTCTCACTTATAACGTTTTTAAAGCTTTCAACTAGAATGCAATGTGTATTTTCTACAGAGAATAAAAAAAAATACTGTTTACACAAATCCAGAATTTAAAAACAATGAAACAAGAGTTACAGTCCTATAAAAATACTAAGACTAGTTCTAGTCCATTGATTCAATTATAATGAGGGTCAAATCATAGCTCCCCCACTGAAAAATTATATATTCTATGTCTAACATTTTCAATTTCATAATTTTTAAATCTGAAATGTAATTCAAATAATTCATCCATATTAAAGTATAAAATTCAGTGTTTTATTAAGTATATTCACAAGGATGTGCAACTATGAATAACTACAGAACATTTCCATTGCCTCAAAACTGTATAATTTCTTAAGCCTTAAAAAAACCCTTTCTAAACATATTGACATTTTCACCTATTGAAAACTTTTAATCCTACTGCAAAACTTTTAAATAGAGCCAAATCTCAGGAAACTATAGTCTTCTAGGTTTTCTGATTTTCTTTCTTTTTTTTTTTTTTTTGAGATCTCAACACGTTTTATTATATTGGCCGGAATGCTCTAAATTCATGAAAGCTTTTGAGAAAATCTTCAGTTCCCAACCCCTTAAAAAAGTGTTGAACCAGCAAAAAAGGAAAAAGGGAAGTAATGATCTGGACAGATACAAACAGCCTCCGCCCCTAGGCCCCGCCCCCGATGAGGCCTGAGGGCAGAGGTGGAAGCCCACAGGTCAGGTCTCACAGCGAACAGAACCCAGAACCAAGGGCATGGAGGGCGGGGGTTGATGCCTCGCTCATCCCCGCAGGCCATTTCAACTCCTAGGTGCAGCTACACCTAGGTTTTCTGATTTTCTTCAACTCTAACACAACCAAATAAAAAAAATATTACTAAAAATGTGTTACAAATATCAATAATTCTTTAGAATCCCTTAAATCTTGGAATGTCTATAATCTGGTTAATCATGCCAGGTTATAGCAAATACCCTACCCAAACCACATCAGCTAATATCCAATATTTTTCTAAAAGTATCCTAAAGATAAGCTCTGTGCTGTTCAATTTCGTACTTATATTCTTCTAAATTAACATTTTAAAAATATTTTTATTAGAGATTACTCCCAGGCATGTTTGTGCAAGAATCCATTAAACTTACACTTAATGAACATGATAATAGCTACAGCAGTACTTCCAGGAAAGTAAAGAAGTATCTGGAAGTCAGTCAGGTTTTATGGAAAAAACAAACACTCCCAAGTTATTACTTAGTCAATTATTTCTTTCGGTGAACAAATGGTCACTTGTGGCACCAAAAATAAACCAAACTAAAACAACAGTAACAACAACATAACCACAGACACAATAATTTCCTAAAATAATGAATACGCATGAAAGGTTTCTAGAAAATTTCATACTAGATTAGTAAGATTTATGTTAACTGCTCATGGCAATTGTGAAGTAAATAAGATGTCAACTCTGTTGTATCTCTTCATAAAACCTCCAAGATGCTTATTTCCTCTCCAAATTACCAAATTCAAAATTATTTCCAAATAAGTACAGTTTTAATAAGCTCTTACAACAACATTACACATCTGCCAAGTGCAGACTTTAACGTTCAATGGCCCATTTCTTTTGGCAAATTCCTAAATACTACTTCTTTTATTTCCTAAGATGCTAATTATCAGCATTTGGATATTAAAATGAATTCCTGATGCAAATTCACAAGTGTAAGAATTAGAGGATTCGTTTTCAAACTTCGAAACAGACTGTTTTCACTTAGAACTTTTAGAGCTGATTTATAATGGGAAATGAATAACAAATGTCAATAAGTCAAAGGCAGCCTAAATTTAATTTGTCAGCCCATATCTCTGTGAAAGAAAGCCAGAAACTCAAAATTAATTGTTTTTTCCCCTCCTCATCCTTTGGCATTGACAGGGCCACAGAACCTGGGGG